TTTCGCAGGGCTTAATTCCGGAACCGAACGGACGCGCGCGCAGTCTTGGCCGTACGTGGGAAGGTGTGATGGAAGGAGGTAGGGGGGTGGGGAAGGAGGGGGGAAGGAAGGGGAGGGGGGGAGGGAGGGGGGAAGGGGAAGGTAAGGGTGAAAGGAAGGAGGTTGGGGGAAATATTGTGTATGTACTGTGTGTTGTGTTTACATTTTTTTGTTTGAATTTTTCTCTGTCTCTGTGTCTTTGTCTCGTATTCTGTCTCTCTGCCTGCTTCTCTGTCTCTGTCTGCCTCTCTCTCTCTCTCTCTCTCTCTCTCTCTCTCTCTCTGTTTCCCTTTCATTTTCCCTCTCCCTCACCCTCTCTATCAAATTATTTTAGTTAATGTTTATGACGAGAGTTTGAACAATCCGTTAAGTTTTTTTATTGTTATATTGAGCTTTATAGGTTTAGTTTGTATGTATGGCTTATTGCCTTATTGATAGTACAGATCGTAATATAAATAATACAGAGACCACGAGAACAATAGGTTTCAGAAGCGGACAAAAACGAATAGTATATATATATATTTTTTTTTTCGTTGTAAATAAATACGTCGCGGTGAACAACGAAACCGGAAATTAACAATTAATTTTTCAATGGGGGAGGGGGGGAGGGGTAGAACCGATCAAAAATAACGTAGTAAATAGTTTCTACTTGCGTTTTATGTGTGGGGATATCAGCTGGTTGCGAAGAGGTTATGTGATATCGTTTTTTGAGCTTCATTATGTTCATTGTACTTTTTGTTAACTGGAATAATTCCGTACTATTTATTTTTATGTTTTATTTTTCATTAGTATACTCTCTCTCTCTCTCTCTCGCTCGCTCGCTCTCGTTTTCCCTCACACTCTCCCTCTCCCTCTCCCTCTCCTTCTACCTCTCCCTCTCCCTCTCCCCACCCTCTCTCTCTCTCTCTCTCTCTCTCTCTCTCTCTCTCTCTCTCTCTCTCTCTCTCTCTCTCTCTCTCTCTCTCTCTCTCTCTCTCTCTCTCTCTCTTGTCTTTCTCCCTCTCCCACTCTCTTTCTCCCTCCGTCCCTCACTGTCCCTCAATCCCTCTGTCTCTCCCTCCTTCTTTTCCTCCCCCTCCTCCCTCCTTCCCTCTTTCTGTATCCTTCTCCCTTCATCCCCTCCGCCCCCTCTCCTTGACTTTACAAATGACGCCACACATCCGCGGGATTCCAAAAGAATTTCGGCAAAATTTCGCGACCTCTCGGTTACAGCCGGTTCCCCGCAGTCGTTCAAGAGGTCCCGACGATATCTTTGACCAACTAATTATCGAAAAGTAATCATAACCGCAGATTTTATTTCATTTCGTTTCTCTTTTTTTGTAGCGTTCGCCATTGCTTTCTCGAGTGTAGACCTACAGGGGTCCGAGCCTATGTTTCGTTGTCGTGGTACATACACTCTCTTGGTCATATGTTGCATTGTTAATCTTTGGTTGGTGGGGAATGCAGGAATTTTGCTTTGTCGGGGCCGTTTTACTCGTTCTTGTAGTTCCAGTGAACAATTGGTGTGTGGAAGCCTGTTGTTAATTATTGTGATTATTATGTTTCTTTTAATGCTTGTGGCCAAACTGGGTTTTTTTTTCTGATATAGGCTTCTCTATCTGTCTATCTATTTATCTATCTATCTATCTATCTATCTATCTATCTGTCTGTTTGTCTGTCTATATATCTGTCTGTTTGTCTGTCTATATATCTGTCTATCTATCTATCTATCTGTCTATCTATCTATTTATCTATCTATCTATCTGTCTGTCTGTCTATCTATCTATCTATCTATCTATCTATCTATCTATCTACCTATCTCTATCTCTTTCTATTTATCTATCAATCTCCTTCTCTCTCTACCCCAATTTCCCCCACAAACAGACCTACCAACCGTAACGCATTCCCCCCCTGTCGCCATTTCAGGGGTACCAACCTTGGCCTGTACGCTCGCCGTGGGAAGCTGCCGACCCACACTCAGCACGACATCATGAAAATCCTGAGGGGAAATCGGCAGAGGGACATCCGGGCATCCCCCGTGAGTACGCCGGTGGTATGTCGTTCATTTTCTTCCTCTCTCTTGGGTGTCTGTCTGTCTGTGTTTGTGGCGTGTCCCGTATCGTCCTTAGAGAGTCTGCTGTGATGTAGTTTATCGGTGGGGGGGTGGGGGATGGATATGGATGGCTGTCGGGAATATACTGGAGTGGGTTTTTTTCGCGTACAGTATATCTCGGTCGGGCCTTGCGTGTCCAGTCCCTCGGAGTAATCAGGTTTGGAGCGACCTTAAAAATAGTTCTTCCTTCGTGATGATAAAGTTTGTGATTAAGATTATCATAGTATTTTTTTTTTAATGATGAGGGTGATGATGATGATACTGATTATTATCATTGTTAATGATAATGATTTTATCTTTATCAGCATTATTATCATTATTGCATTGCAACAGCAACAATAATCAGCAAGCTACAACAAAATAATGGCATTAGATATGTAAAGATGTTGACGCGTGTGTATGTGTGTATATATAAATATATATATATATATATATATATATATATATATATATATATATATATATATATATATATTTATATATATATATATATATATATATATAAATATATATATATATATATATATATATATATATATATATATATATATATATATATATATATATATATATATATATATATACATATATATAAGCATATGCACAAGTATAAACAATGAATATAAAGACTTTCCCCGTCCCGAGCATGACGGAAGCGCCTAATTTAAGTCGCTCCAAAAGCAGACGACGAAGCAACATGGCTGGAGGTCGTGATGTCTCAGAAGTCCTCGTCCTTCCTTGCGCTCGTCCCTTTGTTCTTTTCCGACTCTTTTTCTTGTTATGATGTAAGACATTGCCAAATGATGTTCTCTCCCGGGAATTTCTGCGTTGGAGTCACTCGCGCTCACTTGCTTTATTTTGCGCCGACGTCTAGCCATTCAAAAAAAAGTAGTGAAGTAGAGTATAGAGATAGATAGACTGATAGTTAGATTAGATAGATAGATAGATAATAGATTTACAGAAAGGTAGATAGATGGATCGATATATATATTTATATACTGGTAGAAAATAGATAGATAACTTTCGATTGACACATAATAGACACACACACACGCACACGTACACGCACAGACGCACGCACACGCACACGCGCACGGACACGCACACGCATACGCACACGCACACGCACACACACACACGCACGCGCACGCACACACACACACACGCACACATTTTAAATGCACACATACATACATGCATCCATGTATGGATTGGTAGATAAATAGAAAAAAAAATATATGGATATGTAGATCAATAGAATAGACGAAATTATCGATATCTGCATGTTTAGAAACCGCGAAATAGATACTGCAATTTCTCCAGATACTGTGTATTTTTGGAAATCCAGAACTAGTCCGTACCCATCTAACTTGGCATGCCCCCTCCCCCCCCTATTCCCTCCGGCAGAGTATGGTCGAGCTGACCGTCGAGGAGGTGCTGGAGGCAGGTGAGTGGTTCCTCTCGATCTACAACGACGACGGCGACCCCCACCAGGTGAACTTGGTGATCACCCGAGGCCCGGGCGGAGGGGAGTGCCCACAGAGGTGCCACGAGAGGGGGAATTGCATTCTCGGCAGGTGCCAGTGCGCCCCGGGATACAGCGGGATCGACTGCTCTCAAGGTACGCAATATTTTTTTTACGCATTTTTATAACCGATTTGGTTTGAATCCTCATTTCATATATCTTTGGTTTCTGTATTTATACTCTGATATTGCTTTGTTATAACAATTTGCGAGAAGAAACAAAGATCTAATTCTCTAATTGTTATGCCTCTTTCTCTTTGATCAGTGCTTTGCCCTATATTGTGCTCTGGCCATGGTGCCTATGTGGGAGGGCAATGCATCTGCCACCCCGGATTCAAGGGCAAGGAGTGCCAGCTTCGACACCACGAGTGTGAAGTGCCAGACTGCCATGGTCAAGGGCACTGCGTGGACGGGCGCTGCAAGTGTGCCAAAGGATACACCGGCGAATTTTGTCAGACAGGTGAGAATTTTTTTTTCATTCATGTGGCACGCCTCCAGTCTAATATCTCTTTAAACACCCTGTAATTTAAAACGGGTCTGCTTTTCATAGTTGTCTTCGAGTCATAGAAGACATTAATCAGAAATATAACAAATTATTGCAGGTCTTTATCTCTTCCAAGCGGCATTAACGTTGCACTTGTTATCCATCTCCATCTAACCAATACATCTGCTCTTCTGCACAGTGGACTGCCCGAATCCGAAGTGCTCAGGCCACGGGTGGTGTGTGATGGGGACCTGCGTGTGCCAGAAGGGATGGCGAGGCGACGACTGCTCCGAGATGGACGTGGATGCCCAGCAGTGCCTCCCCGACTGCAGCGGCCACGGGGCCTTTAGCATCGAGGCCCATGCTTGTGTGTGCGACCACCTTTGGACCGGCTCTGACTGCTCCAAGAGTAAGTGGCTTGGGATTTTATGTTATCATGTTTTTTTTTCTTTTCTTTTTCTTTTCTTTTCTTTTCTTCTTCTTTTTTTCAGATATGTATGAATGTCCATTTCCGTGTGGGCTTTGTTACTCTCGCATTAATCTCAGTTTGTAACAGTTTACAAAAAAAGCGTTTATATGATTTGCCTATGAAGCTGGCGCAGTATAGCTTAGGAGAATCAGACCGAGCTTCATCTGCAAACTTGGAATCAAACCCCGTCCATGCTCGTGGGATGATGTACTTCCGTCTTTCCCTTCCTGCCTCCTCCATTCCCTTCTCTTCCTCTTCTATCCCCTTTCTCCCTTTCCCTCCCATCCGCTTTGCCCTCTCCCTCTTGTCTTTTCTACCCCTCTCTTCCTCTCTCTCTCTACCCTATTCCCCTACCCCCCATCCTCCCCTCTCCCTTCCTCTAATCCCTAACCCTCCCTTAACCCCCCCCCCCCCTCGCTCCCAATACCTCTGACCCCCCCCCCCCCCGCCCCCCGCGTTGCCAGCATCATCAACAAAGCTTCCGTGGATGTATCTCAGCCTCTGTTACATTCCCCCAGCTTCCGCCTCTCCCCACTTTGCCTCTTCATGTTACACGTCGCCCGATATTTCCGTGCGAGCAACTTCGATTCCCGTGCGAGTGTCTCATCGTGTGTTAGATCACACTGTTTGCTTTGGAGGCCTTGTTGATTGACGCAGGTGTGAGGAGGGGATAGGGGGCACGCAGATCCAAGGGGGAAATGTGCCCGAATGCTTGCTTGCTTCCATACATAGTGCATATGTGTATATGTGTATGTGTGTGTTTGTGTGTAGTGTGTGTGTGTGTGTAGTGTGTTTGTGTGTGTGTGTGTGTGTGTGTGTGTGTGTGTGTGTGTGTGTGTGTGTGTGTGTGTGTGTGTGTGTGTTTGTGTGTTTGTGTGTTTGTGTGTGTGTGTTTGTGTGTGTGTGTGTGTGTGTGTGTGTGTGTGTGTGTGTGTGTGTGTGTGTGTGTGTGTGTGTGTGTGTGTGTGTGTGTGTGTGTGTGTGTGTGTGTGTGTGTGTGTGTGTGTGTGTGTGTTTGTGTGTTTGTGTGTTTGTGTGTGTGTGTTTGTGTGTGTGTGTGTGTGTGTGTGTGTGTGTGTGTGTGTGTGTGTGTGTGTGTGTGTGTGTGTGTGTGTGTGTGTGTGTGTGTGTGTGTGTGTGTGTGTGTGTGTATGTGTGTGTGTATATGTGTTCCCGTTATATGAATACTTTTCACATAACTTTTCAAACGCTTTTCCTTCAAGGAGAGTCATAATTAGTGTCGCCCGTTAGCCTCGCCATCATTTACTGGCCTATTCTTGACCTCCGCCGCGACGCCTACTAGTCTTCCCCCGGAGACAATGGACCTCAGCGCCGTTTCTCCGAACTACTCTTTATGCCATTTGAGAAACACCCAGCCTTTTCGACTTTCCCCTTCTCATTTTCCTTTCCTTTGTTCTTCATTTTTTTTCTCTCTATTCTCTCTTGTCCTCGTACACTTTCCTTGGATTTTTTTCCCACTTTTAGGAGGAGAAAACTGTCTATTTATAGTAACGGAAGTGAGGTATCTGTTTTTTTCCGATCAGTTTCATTCTTACACATTTATCTTCAGTTTTCTCCTCTTTACCCTCTACTTTATCCTTCCTACCCCCCCCCCCATCTCCCTTTTCTTTGCTCATTCTTCCTTCTTACACTTTTTTCTTCTTTCCCTTAATCCCTTTTCTTCCTTGCCATATCTACTTTTTGACAACGTCTGGAAGGCTTTTTGTCGAGGAAGTTGAAACCACAGTACCGTCGCCTCCCCCTCCCTGCCTCCTCCCTCTTTCCTCCCTTCCTCCTCTCCCTTCCTTCCTCTCCTCCCCTCCACCCCCATCTCCTTCCTCTCCTTCCCTCTCTCTCCCTTCCTTCCTCTCCTTCCTCTCCACCCCTCCCTCATCTCCCCTCTCTCCTTCTCCTTCCTCTCCTCCCTCCCTCCCTCTACCTTAATTTCTATCCTCCCCTCCTCCATCTCCTTCCTCTCCTTCCCTCCCTTCCTCTCCTCCCCTCCCTCCATCTCCTTCCTCTCCTTCCCTCCCTCTCCCTCCTTTCCTCTCTTCCCTTTCCTCCCTCCTTCTCCATTACTTCCTATTACTTCCTTCCCTTCTCTCACTTCCTTCCTCTCCTCCCCTCCCTCCATCTCCTTCCCTCCCTCTTCCTTCCTTCCTCTCTTCCCTTCCCTCCCTCCTTCTCCCTTCCTTCCTCTCCCCCCCTCCCTCCATCTTCTTCCTCTCCTTCCCTCCATTCCTCTCTTCCTTTCCTTCCTCTCCTCCCCTCCCTTCCTTCCTCTTTTCCCCTCCCTCCATCTCCTCCATCTTCTCCCTCCCTCCTTCCTCCATTTCCTTCCTCTCTTCCCTTCCCTCCCTCCCTCTCCCTTCCCTTCCTCTCCTCCCTTCCCTCCCTCCCTCTCCCTTCCTTCCTCTTTTCCCCCTTCCTCCATCTCCTCCCTCTCCCCTCCCTCCTTCTCCATTTCCTTCCTCTCTTCCCTTCCCTCCCTCCCTCTCCCTTCCTTCCTCTTTTCCCCTCCCTCCCTCCCTCCTCCCTTCCTTCCATCCCTCCCTCACCCTTCCTTCCATCCCTCTTAGCAGGAATTTTGACAGCGTCTTGAGCACATTTGCCGAGGGAGCTGAAACCACAGTAGCAGTGTGTGTCTTCCTCGAGGGCCTCCCAGTATCTGTGGTGTTCCCCTTTAGGTCCACGCAACTCGGGTCTCTTTTGTTACTCCGGCGTTGTGTAATGCCGCTTGCGTTCTGCTGGGCTGTGGACACGTAACTTTATTTCAAGGGCCACTGCAGTTACGATCTGCCCTTGGAATAAGGATGTGTTCATGTCGAGTGAGGGGATACGGGGGTGACGATAATGATATCGATCAATTGTTATTTTTCCTTTGTTATTATT